ATTTTGAAGTCCTCAAATTTCTTGAGGGCCATGGTTAGCTTATTGTCCTTCTCCTGTTCATCACCAGCTATAATTTTTGTGAGCTCATCCCAAACGTCCTTTGCAGTTTCACATTTCCTAATCCTGGGAAATATGGATTCATCAACAGATTTAAAGAGAATATCCTTGGCAATGTTATCAAGGTTATTTCTTTTTCTGTCCTCAGTTGTCCATTCTAGTTTGGGCTTGAGAATGTACACATCCTCTTGGTCATCAGTTTTGGATGTGCTGACCTTCATTATCCTGATAGGTCCAGTAGTGATCACTTCCAGCATCTCATCATGTAAGGCACTGAGATGTGCCTTCATTCTGATTCTCCAATCATCAAATTTGTTTAGGTTGAATATGAGGTTTTTGGCTAGTTGACTGTCCATTGTTTAGAAAGTGTTTGGGAGGGGAAGTGGCTTTGGATCTTTAGTTCAAATTAGTCAGGAACTGACTCTAGGAACACTCTGCTCTGATACCACTTGATGGTCCCGGATAGGGAAAAAATCTGGGGGGGTGAATAGACTTTTAAATCTTTTTCGACTTTTGAAAGTTTTCCCTCTAAAAGAGTTGATCTATAAACTTTTGAGAGTTTTATAGATGCACAGCAGAAGTCTTTACCCTTTGAGTAATGAGTGTTTAGCCACTTTCTAACTTGGAGAGTGTTTGGCTTAGAATGCTAGCAGTTGGCTTCGCAGGTGGCTAAGAGCAGGTAACTGCTGAGGCAACTACTCAGGAAATGCAGTGTATGATGGAGGTAGAGATAGTTGTTTGATGAGTATGGTGTGGCCTTTTGGTAAGTATGCTTAAATGAGGGGAGACTAGCTTTTTGCTGAAACAGTGGACTCGGCAGTTGGGTGAATATGAGGGAACTGCTGAGGCACCTGCTCGGGTCAAAAGCTTATTGGGTTAAGCAATCTTCTTGATGAGGTATTGACAAACTGGTGATGTTTGAGACAGTGATATGAAACAAGTATATATGAGCAGAGGGCTCAGCAGTTGGGTGGATTCCAGAGAACTGCTGAGGCACCTGCTGTACTTAGAAAATGAATTTCAGAGAACTGAAAGAGTGATCCTTTTAGATGTTGTTGGTGCACGTTATAGGTGTGAATCCGGTCTCAAAGAAAGTGAGTAATTAAGCAGTAGGATAAGCAGTTGGGTCAATTAAGACAACTGCTTAGGATTCTGCCGGCAGACTACAATCTTTATGTGAGAAGTGTTTGGTGTGTGCTTTGTTGACTGAAATGAATTCAACACACGATATATCCTGGTTCAGAGGTGGTGTAATCCTCCTATGTCCAGTCCCACCCTCTTTCAGATGGATTTCACTAAAGTATTAAGCCCAATACACTTAGTGCCAATCTAGCCTTTACAACACCTAGGCCTAGATTGAAGGTTTTTCACGATGAGTATAGCACCACTCAAAGTTACTCAGTCCTTAGACTTTTCTCTAATGAACCAGTGGGGATCAAAAGGTACTCTATCTATCTACTTACATTGTAGGATCCGAACAATTGTTCTCCTAAGTGTTTACAAAAATATGTGATTTGTTACAAGAAAGTTCTAACCTCCAACTAGGAATTAAACTTCTATGATTTAGCAATGAAAAGCTTTGTAAACAGGAAGTTTAGTGAAGCATGAGTCCAAGCAGAGAGTAAAGTATGGAATAACACTTTCTCTTTTGCTAGATATCTCGTAAATGCTCATGATAGAAATTCTCTCTTTGGATGCTCAAACGCTTGGTTAGAAACTTTCGTTTCAGCCTATATTTATAGGCATCTCCTTTGAATTAATCTCATGTGTTGGTTAGGATAGATTAATCTTTGACGTTGAAATTCTGACAAGGACAAATTGTACATTTGTCTTCTTGTGCTGGAGCTTTAATTCGGGATGATGTAATTGTCTTGAATAATTCACCCGCTGAAGTTTCTCTCCACATGAAACAGTTTCATGTGTGCGTCTCATGCTGCTGCCCCGAGTACTTGATTCGGTATTAAATACCGGTCTAGTTTTGTCTTCAATCATTCACTTGATACTTCTACTTTCTTTTAAATGTGAAATACGAATAATCTTTGAGTCAAATAGTATTTGCCGGTAGGATTCAAATATCCTATTAAGGTAAAGAAAATTTATCTTATTGCATTTTTACTTTTCCGGTAATATTTCTTAGACTCAAAAGTTGTACATTTAATTTGTCACGTAAATACTAGAACAAAATGAGACACAATGTACACGTGTTTAGTATAGTGACATCATCAAAATCTTATCAAAATTGGGTACTAACAATTATCCCACACTCTTATCATGTAGGATAATCCTAAAGGTTGTTCATATGATGCACATTTCATATGGTAGAAGAAAAGGAGAAAATAGTTATGATAAGGTCATTACCTTAATCCTTTCACACTTTTAGTGTTTTAGCTCCTTTTCTTGAGATTCTTTCTTTTGAGCTCTCTTCAACAATGGAGGAGGAAGGATGAAGATTGGTTTGCTCTTGCTTGGGGTGTGCTGGCCGCAGGTATGAGAGAGAGAGAGGGTGAGGATAGCTCTTTTGTCTCAATGACCCAATGAGTGTGGGTGAGGTCCGCCTCATTTATTGTTTGATGCCATTTCTCTCATCTCAAAATCCCCTCCCATGCCATCCTATCCTACCAGCCGGCCAAGCTCTCAAATTGAGTGGCAAAAATCGTGGGCTGGCCCCCACTCATGTGGGAGGTCAACCCTTTTCGTCCCGAAGTGTACAATCGGTCCCGAAAGTTGTATTTCCTCAGACTGTTTTAATTATATTTTATTTTATCGGGCCAAATAAAATATATTGTGTGATTTCAATCACTATGGACCTTTAGAATAATTGTAGATTCCCCAACTTTAATTTAGAAGTCTCCGAAATTCAATTCGGACTGTTAACCGGTAAATTACCAATACCGATAATTGAGCTTCGTTTGACCGACGGGTCAACCCTAAGCCCTTTCTATGGCCCAACTAAAATATATATCATCATATAAATATTATCTAGACCAAGATGAATATAATATGTGGTCCCGGAATTACCGGATGGTCCCCGCTCCCAGTGTGGGCCCCACGTGCAGTTCACTATTCACGCGAAAGTAATAACCAAAAATTTACAACCACGTAAATTCATAAATCAATATTCAAGATTTATTACATGATTTACTAAAAAGTAAATATATTTGGGGACGGTGTTACAATCTCTAGTGAAACATTATGACTATATGTTATGTTTTTAAGAATGAGATAAGACTTACAGATTATGGTACTCTCTTGTCTCTTATAACTTAGTCATGTTTGAGTGGTACCGGAAATGATAAAGTAGAAAACTAATAACTCTATGCTTGAGGCCTTGAGATATTTATGGAAAGAAATAATATGAATCACAAATTAATTGATTAAAAAGGAAAATGTCAAAATTTTTAGAACAATCAAAAAAGAAAATATGACAAAGTTATAAGTAGGGATGGATCTGGTTCTAGGCCGACGCCGCCTAGTCAAAAAAAGATTGCTCCGGCTCAGGCCTTACCCGTTTTTTTCCGAGTTTGGGCCAATTCTAAGTGCCCGGCCAAGATCGAAACCACCTGGTTCGATCCTCAAAACTGTAGATTGTGACCGTAAACCGCTCTAGGGCCGACATGTCCAGTCCCAAAACCAAAATTTCCTAATTTTCGGACCTAGTCTAATCCCAAATGGTGCCAGACCTGGTTCTGGATTGGACCGGACCGGATCCACCCCTAGTTATAAGGGGTGAATGGAGTACAAATTAATTCTTTTTTGTTAAGTGATATCTCGATTGAGAGAGTGCTAGATCTAAAAGATTATCTTTGGCCCGTTTTATGGGAGTGACAAATCATTTCAACTATTCAAATATCTCTACAATGTTCAGCGTATGTGCAATAAGCACTTGTATAGTTATTCGTTTAAAGGTAACATTATTGATGCTTCGAGTATACAAATAGAACATCTAAACTTATTGAGAACTACATATATAACATACAAACCTTGTATTGTCTTGAACATTGATTTGTCTATTGAACTTATCCTCAAACAAGCGTCTAAGAATCGAAGTAATTAGTTACTAGTGCAATATAATCATCACCTAATATACATATTGCTCTTAAAGTTACTAACGTCTCATATCCATATTGTAAGACCAAGTTCAATTGTGTACCATTACTTGATTAGTCACTAAGCATATCATTCAAAGACTAGTGCTATTAAAGAGAATATTAATTGCCCTAAATAGGACTAAAAGTTGCATAAAAATAAAAAATAGGACTATAATCCTAAATCATTCACAAACAGGATTAAACATTAATGTTCTACCCTAATTACCCCTAAGGATATTAATTCATAATGAAATGTTTTTAATTCATAATAAAATCGTAAAAAAATAATAAAAATCGTAGAAAAATAATAAAAATTTAATAAAATGTTTATAAAATAAAATTTCAAAAAATGGATTTTTTAAATTAATACAAAATAGTAAAAACAAAAAAATGAATGACATTCCCACCGCCTCTATTACCTCCCAGCACCACCACATCCGTCGGTGGAAAAATGCCATTTTTTCTTAAAATGCTAAGAAAACGGCATTATTATTCTTGATAATGCCAAAGTTTTCATTGAAACTGCCATAAATATGGCATTACTAATGCATGTTGGCATTTTTTTCTCCGTTGATCGGAGCTAGTGGTGCTGGGGGTGGCAGAGGCGGTGGTGTATTTTTTTTTACGTTTATTATTATTATTATTTAGAAAAATAAAATATTTTTTTTGAAATTTTTATTTCATAAATATTTTAATATTTTTTACAATTTTTTATTTTTTTATAATTTTATTATGAATTAAACATTTTAAAGCTACAAGGATATTTTCGTCCAAACACACATAATTAGTCCTATTTGTGTTTGTTGGCTATCTTTTAGTCCTGGTTAGGTAATTCTCTCTAAAGAGAACTTGAAATTACTAGAATAAGGGATTGCTGCTTTATTAACTAATGACTAATGAGTAATGGAAATAAAATATACAATGTTCAAATTGAATTCTATGATTGTCTTGAATCATATTTCCAACCTCATCATCCACTTCATTACACTATTAGCATAATAAAGTCAACCAATCAACACACATTTGTGCTGTTAAATTGCGCAGGATCAAGTACTATACCCCGAATTTGTCTCCCTCGTCTCAAGGCCCTACTAGAAGTGGTTGTTGGAGAAGCTGTCAGTTCAACATGAGGAGGTATTGGCCTCTCTTCTGAGTGGCCGGAGATGCATAGCCTACCAGAATCATCTTGTTCCCAGTTGACTTCTACCATAATGCCTCTGGGATTATCGGCAGATTCTGTCCCAGGAATCCCAATATATCTTGCTCCCACTGGTATCTGAAAGGATGATAGGGAAACGTTAATGGACTTGACCGCATTGTAGCACAGGACACTGATTCCTGTTATATTCCATTGTTTTAAGTAGCGCCTATGGCCTACATGGGGATTAGATAGGTCTAGGAGGGATTTTTTGGGACAAAGATATTGTTCTACTTCTACCTGGAACAAGCCCTTAGGCAGAAGTTTACAGTCAAAGTTTTACCTGCAGAGATGACGACCCCGAGTTCAATGTAAGAGCAGCAAAACTTCCCTCTGCTGCAGCACTTTCCATTTCAGCCTGTTTAGCAATGTTTAAGAAAACTTCTTCGAGGGTTGTGAGCCCTAGTTGGACATCTGATATTCCAAATTCTGATTCTCGATCTTTGAGTTCAGTAAAGAAGTCCTGACAAGAAGAAGGTTTAGGGGAAGGAAAAGGAACTGTCAACAATTTCTAGCAGAAAATCAAACAAAAATGCAACTATATAATAGCAGGAAAAATGCAACAACAAACAGTTAAAGCTGTACAGCCAAAAGGCTCTCCCTGTCATGCGGAATAACAAAGGTCAGGAGAGACTTGCTTTCCTCTTTAGGGACCACATCCAAATGCTGCAAAAACAAATATTAAAAGTCAATCAAAAATATTTTAAGACTTAAGCAGAAGAAACCAGATACCATTTTTGTTTTACATACCGTTTTGAAGAACTGTTGTACTGCTTGGTGTTTATCTGTAGAAACAGTATCAGGTTTTTTAGGAGTTGTCCCTCCAGAAAAACTGATTGTCGCAACAAAACCAGTTCCAAACTTTGATTTCAACCTTATTGAAGTCCCAATGCAACGAAGCCTCCCCTTTGCCATGATGCCTATGCGATCACTTAAAATGTCAGCTTCCTCCATAGAATGGGTGGTTAAGATGATGGCACGTCCTTTTTTTGCATCCTCTATTATGTCCCAGACGTGTCGTCTTGTTATTGGATCCATGCCGGTTGTCTTTGCATTTGCAAGGAACACAATTAGTATAGATATACTACCTAAGTACCTAACCATTTGAACTTAAATCTAACAGTTGAAACCACACTCATATGCATGGGTGCGCAAATTTGTGTGGGGAATATTCTTCTTATCTTGTCTGGAAAGACTTAAACCAGCCTTTTAATAACTAGTAAAATCCTACAGAAACCATTAAAAGCAATCCAAAAGCATCCAATGGTGGATTTTGAGTCCTTCCAGATTGAAGCCGTCATGAATGACTAAAGTAAATATTTCCACGCACACCCACACATCAGAACATGTCTCAGCAACCAACAATAGACGCATTTATACCCACTGGTTCATCTAAAATAACCAATTTTGGTTCGCCAATAAGAGCTATCGCAAGACTGAGCCGCCGCCTCATTCCTCCACTGTAACTGCTAGCTCTCATACCAGCAGCTTCAGTCAGTTTAACCTCAGTTAATGCAGTCTGTACAACCTGTGATTTACAACAACAATAAATCATAAAATACTTCCAAATTTAGAAGTTCCAGTCTAGGGGGTTCCCACTCAAGTTCCATGAATATAAAAATTATCTTGAACCATCGCCATCATATGATACTTTTCATGCAAGTAGCAATAATCTACGATGATAATGGTTACGAATCCCATCATTCCTCAGTGAGAAAGGTGTAAATGAAGTGGAAGCCACTATTTTTTCCCACCAACCCCAACTAGTTGGGTCATTTGAGAATTAAGGTGTTGCTCATGATAAGCCTAAAGTGTAGGTTTTTCACAACGCTTACGCACCGATTTTATAGAGGAAGGGGGTAAACCTTTGATGGAGGCAAAGAGCTGGAGATGTTCTTGACCCGACAATTCATCCCAAAGAATATCAAACTATTAAAATTGGAAGACAGTCAACACATTTTAAGGAGTCAGTTAATCACTGAAAACACAAGGAAAAACTAATAAAAAAGACTTACCTGTGGGCAAACACCTATCATCCGTCGAATGCTTGACATGCCGGTTGAGCTGCGGATTGAGCATCCATATATTAATGCTGTGATACACAAGTTCAAGGTCATATTTTTCATTAACAATCCATAGATACTAAACATGGACTTAAGGAGAGCAACTACCATCTCCATCAGTAACTGGTGTTATGCCAGTCAAACAATTTATAGCAGTAGTTTTTCCAGCCCCATTGGGCCCTAGAAGACAAAATAGCTGATCTTTGGCAAGGTTTACCCATAGGCCCTGGCATACAAGTATATAACCAATGTGAAACCCACTCAAACATAATTTCTTATTTGCCAAAATCTACAATGAATGAAAAAAATTTGAACTTTATGCATGGGGGTGTTTTACTTGAGTACATTTTACCACCTGTGTACATGAGCTCTAACCATGATCCTAGGATTTTCCAGAATGCATGCACAAAATGTGAATTGACGTGCAAGATAGATATATATATATATATATATATATATATATATATATATATATATATATATAGAGTAGTGTTCCGGTCAGGAATTCCTGACCGGAACCGCCGTCTGGACGACGGCTTTTAGGGACCTTCCCGGTGGAGTTTTTTGATGATTTTTTTTTGGCATGTTCTTCATCATGTCTAGTTTATCCACAAAACAATTAAGCTAAAAACTCAATCGGGAAGGTCGTCAAATGATTTTTACAAGATAACTGCGCCGGAAAATACATAAAAAACACAGTTAACTTGTAAAAATCATTTGACGACCTTCCCGATTGAGTTTTTAGCTGAATTGTTTTGTGGATAAACTAGACTTGATGAAAAACATGTCATAAAAATTTCATCAAAAAATTCCACCGGGAAGGCGGCCAAACGCCGCAGTCCGGACGGCGGTTCCTGTCCGGAATTCCAGACATGAACTTTCCTCTACCTCTACATATATATATATATATATATATATAATTATATATATATATATAAAGAGTAGTGAATATTTCCATCATTTGCAATGGAGCCAAAGATTCATTATTTTTTGGCTTGAGATTATGATGGAATAAAGCAAAATGGCTCACTAAACTGTCTGCGCTTCTTTGTTATGGAGAAGCAGTCAGTCCATGCAATTTTGGACGCGATTTTCACTATGGGTCATCCGGAAACAGTTTCTCTGTGCTTTAGTACATGGGTAAGACTGCGTACATCCGACCCCCCTTACCCCACCGTAGGTGGGAGCTTTTGCGGCACTGGGGTAAATGAAAATGATGATAAAGAGTAGTGAATGCATCAAATGTTGCCTATTACCCCATCAGGTCCTGTTTAATTGTTCATTATTTAACTATCCACTTTTTTAGGGATTTGATAATCCTTTTATCTATCCTTTTAGGGAGTTTTTGGAGTATTTATTGTGTTTTTCATGGTTTACCCGTCAACAGTAAATAATAAGCACATCTGAAAACATGAAAAGATAATTTACGACGCATTGTAAACATGTAGTGAGTTCAAAAATAAGGGTGCATTTGGTAAGATTGGATAGATTGTAATTGATTTAAAAATAATAATTCTGCTACTTTTTTATGTGCTATTGAGATAAGCGCACAGTTAAATATGACCACCGGGAGTAAAGTGTATTCCATTTCAAGTTGGTCGGTCCATCGGTATGTTATTTGCATATAAATTATTATATATACAGCAAAAAATGCAAGATAAAATTCTATATTGGAAAAGAATTTTGAAAGATCAACGTGAACTCGCATGGTGACAATTTTGTTTTGCCCCATTTAGATAGTAATTGCTTGGTTAAAGAACAATCAATAATCTACTCCCATTATCGGCTTAATTATGTTAAAAAGTGTTGGGCATTTTGTAATCCATAACCTTTGCCAAACAAGTAGAAAGATCACTATTTAATTCTAACGAATGCTCTTAATGGACTAAGTAGATACGTTGTAAACCCCTCATGATACCTTAAGAGCATGATAAGGTGGGTTCATTTTGCAATTACAGCAGCTAATCTTCCTTGAACCTGGATATATCTTCACAAGACCACATATTTGAACTGCAACAGGAGAATCAACTTGGCCTTCTCTAGCTTGCTGTTTCACTAAGTTTTCTTCTTCAAGAACATCCTCATCATCTGGCACACTACTTTCTGAAGCAGGAATTGCACCAGTACAACTACAGACATCCCCCTCTGAATAAAGGCATATGGTTTCAAAGCACTTGTCTGGCTGAGATTTCCAAGGAGACAGGTAAATTTGAGGCATAAGTTCATTAATCAATTACCTGAGACATTGTCTCCACCTTTTCCTGTCCAGTATCCAGGATTCAAGAAGTAGAACATTGACTTTCTAACACCAGATGAATTTGGAATTATATTGTCCATGTAGATAGCCAACACCAACCACAGAAAGAATGTTGACCCAAGCCATATATAGATGTCATTCTGTTGAAAAAAAGAAAAAAATGTGGGGATATAGATCGAATATGTAACCTTCTTAAAATCATGCTAAATGAAAATAAGAAATGGCCATGCATCCAGCTTTTTCGCCTCAAGGCTCAAGCTATCTTCACCTCTGGGCAAAACTTATGAACTGTACTTCAAAGGTAAACTTATTCATAATAAAAGAGAGAGAAAGACACACACACACTGAACAGTTGCAACGTGGAGCATTCACTGTCCACATTTGACCAACCATATCTTGGACGATCATACACATTAAGATCTCAAAACAAATAGGACACTAGCCAATTCAACCTAACACAAAACAACCAAACCAACTCCTTCATCGCATGGTAAATGGAAAAGAAAAAAGAGGACCCGCAGCCTTGCAATCTATCCAGTTTTAGAGCTATTCTATGGAGGGAGGATGTTGAGGTCGGCAATGAACACCATAAGCTCTGTTTACAGATTCCTGCTCCAAAATGAGAAGCACTCATGGATTTTTCATCAATCATGGGTGATTTAGTAGAAGACAAAAAGCAGACAACTCATGCCAAACCAAAGAGTAACATCTCCATGTTGGTTTTGGTGGAGGACACTATAACTCCAGATCTGCATGTGGCGCCGTGGAGAAAAGGGATGCAGGGAAGTTGCCGAACGACTAGGTGGTTTCTCCAGTGGTGCAAATGTTGGCATCAGGTCCACTGCAGGAATGACGCAGAGCTCACATTGGCGGTTATGCGAGTGCATAGGGAAGATTCGGCACTCAAGGTGCGATTGACCACAGTAGTGGTTCTTTTAACAACATTGCAGCTCAGGGGAAGCAAGACAAACATGAACAAAACAAAAAGAACTAGGCAGAGCAAAAACGCAACTCCAAATCAGAGAAGGGTTGGGAGAAGAGATCCAGGAGTCTTGGAGAAGAGGAGCGGACTGCAACAGAGGCGGGAGAAGATCAGGGAAAGACCTGGGTAAGGAGCTGCTGCTATAACCATAAGGGTTTGGGGAGAAGCTGGAGACAAGGTGGAGCTTCTCTATCAAACTCCTGGGAACAGTTCAAGCTCCCAGTAAAAATTAAGTGCATTGTTAGTGGCATAAAAGTCTGCCTACCATGGTTATTAGACATTCATTATCATTTGGAGCACACTTTGCTCTTCCTTTCCAGCTAACACCAGGATCTTCAGGAGTTGCAGTTGCATCAGCAACCAGCTTAAGACCTTGAGCGAGAAGATTTGGCGGGAAATTAGACCAAATGATCCTGTAAGTATCAGGGAATGTGTTACTGTATGGAAATCCAAATGCTGTCACAACCTGAAAGTGGGGAAAATGGAAAAGGAAAGAAAAAGAGGAATGAGGTATCATGAATCAATTAATTGCTAACTAATTGCCAAAGGAGAGATTATTGCCTGAGTCAAAGAACCAACAATGAAAGTCGAAAACCCCACAGTTGTTGATGAGGATGATTTAGTAATGAAAGCAGACAACAAGAATGCTAGACCAATCTGGCAACCAGCATGTATCATATATTAGCATTAAAATTTAAATACAGTGTTAGTTCTCTTTGTAGTCCTAATACTCCAGAGAATGAAGCAAATCTAATAATGTGAAGTTTCTGAACTGCCAAGTGAAGCGCACCATATTGAACTGGAAAAGAAAAAACAGCGTGAATAGAACTGGAAAACTGTTGTTCATGAAAAAATCAAACTGAAACATCATCCCAAATAACAGTGTTATAAGTGTTGATAGAAGTGTCATAATTCCCTCCCATGTGAGCCATGATAACCAATATGAGGTGTCATAAAGACCCATCATGGCCATAGCCTGCAAATCAAATATGACAAGAAAAATATGAGCATAATTCTGAAAAACAAATGAACAAGTTTTCATAAGAAGAAATCGCAAAGTAGGTAAGACCTGTCGGAGTTTTAATTCCTTCTCTGTGACTAAAGCACTGATTTGGAAGACAAAAGAAAACATGGCAATTGCCAGGAAAAATGTTGGTCCAGCTGCACCAACAGCAGAGAAAGTTTCAACCGCAGGATGTGCAAATTCCCTGAAAGTGATAAGCCAGCTGAAGTTTGGATCTAACACATAATAGCAATAGAAGGTGCCATTAGGTTATCAGAGTAAACATCATTATCATTATCAGTTACTACTATAATACAACTCAATCAGATCGGATGAAAATCTATTGACCACTTCTGTACCTCCAATTAGAGATCGTGCAATTTCACGCTCTGCTGCAAGTTGAAGTGGGATTTGGAACTTAAATGTGGGATCTTCAAAAATCCCTCGTTTGGCCACTGGAGTAGAATTTGTCTGTAGACCATAACTAATTACACTGGAACTTCTTTCACTAAAATGAAGAGCTCCGGGGCAATGCATAGCATTATTGGAAAGCCATACATCCACTTCATCCCGAGTTCTGAATGATTGAACCTGCAACAGAAGTTATGATAGTAATTGCATCTTGGTGAAACTAGAAGGCCTGAAGTTTTAAATAATAAACCATTACAAGATCTACAGTTCTGTAAGCACTCAAACACTCATGCACAGTATAGTCTGTATAGAGGCTACAAAAGTACAAATGCATTGAGAAAGCAAGACTACTGCAGCTCTCTTTCAACTTATTATGGTAAAGGTACATTTAACAGTTATTAACATTTATTGTGATATTATTGTTTGTGTAGCATGACCTCATCTTGATTGTCTCTAGCCAGAACTCCAGAAGTACTGGAAAAGAAGCATGACAATCCATTCCAGGATCATCTACTCATCTCTTACTCTTTTGCATAAACTAGTCTAGGGATCCACGGAAATGTTTAAGGGCAAGAGTCTAAATTGCTTCAACAAACAAACCTTATTTTGTGGCAGTTTGTTTAGACTTAGCCATGAAGTTTAAAATCCAAGGGCTATAGATGAAAGAAAAAAGTGGCTAATTTTCATTTATCAAAAGAACATTAAAAGATAGTATGAGTAATATACTAATATGTTAAAGCAGCAGATTCAATATTATCCTCTCCCAGTCAATTCACTCAGTGAAAATTGATTTAACTTGATGAGATGGTTTTAGCATCGACTTTCAAGTTTCAAGTTGTGAAAGTATTATTGAATATGCTTTAGGAATATGCTCTAGAATATGCTTTAGGAATATACTCTAGACATTATTATTGTATAGCATCTTATATAGGAATATTCCATCTTTGTAATATATATAGGGCCTTAACCCTCTAATGAAATATACAGAAAATCATTTCCTCTCCAATATCATTTACTCTTATATGCTCTATTTCAACAAGTTCAAATGGAGCATTTGCTCGTTTATTAACTCGAGGGCTTAAGCTAGTACGATGGTGTTTCGCAAATTGACATGACTCACATTGTAACGAGGTCACCTTATTGAATTGGGGATTTATTTGCTTCATTAATGGGAGAGATGGATGTCCTTATCGGTAATGAGCCTCTAACAAAGTCCCGACCCCAAGACAAGAGATACCTTTTGTGATTGATGTATCCAAAATATAAAGACCAGCTGACTCATGTCCTTTACCAATAGTCTGCTTCGTTAACTGGTCCTGAAACACACATTATCCAGGAAAAAATGTTACAGAACAATTAAGAGTACGCGTGATTTTGCTGATGGAAAGCAGATTAAATGCAAAATTAGGAAGACTCAAAACGGGCGATAATGGTAATGTAGAAGTTGGGACAACAGTACCGGATCCAAGAACAGGTGAGGTAGATCCATCAGCTAATGTGACACTAGAAGTAGGTAAATATGAATGAAAGGATGAGAATAGACTAGGATTACCAGTCATATGATCTGTGGCACCCGAGTCAATGACCCATTTCGAGGATGAGGAAACGAGACATGTGTTTGATATACTTGAATTAGCAATTACCGAGGTAGGGAGAGAGGACTGCTTTAGAGCTTCTTGGTAGCAAATAAATTTGGCATACTTGTTTGAAGAAATAACAATTGATCCATCAGATGAGCTGGTAGCGGAAGCAACGTGAGGAAGCCGATTTCCTTGATTTTTGAACAGCAATTTTCTGCATTCTTTGATCAAGTGTCCAGGCTTTTTACAATAATGACATATTATTCTTCGGCCAGACTGATCAATGGAAGTCATTTCTTTTTTTTTTCTTTTTTTTTTGTGTTTGTCGGCACTATACTCAAAGCAGTATATTCAAATATGGTGGATGGGGATATTCAAATAAACCCTTACACGAAACTTCCCTTCTGGAAATTTTCAGAAGTAAGGACAGACCTCTCTCTCTTCACCAGAAGAATAGATCGGTTACCACCAGTTTTGAAATCAACTCCAAATAAGGCAGATCACAGTCCATGCCAATTCCCAATCTGAAGAATAGTTTGGTATACCTACTGTTCATTTCAACAATAGTAATCGATCCATTTCCTACTTGTGCTCTACTCCCTTAGAAAGCCTGGTCATCTCCGACCATTGATCATTGGGCTACTGTAGAACACATATTATGTTACTTAAAGGGAGCACCAGGACGAGGTATTGTTTATCAAAACCATGATCACATGAGAATAGAATGCTTTGCAGATGCTGATTGGGCCGGATCTAAAGATGATCGGAGATTTACATCTGGCTATTGTGTCTTTGTTGGTGGTAATCTTGTATCCTTGAAGAGTAAGAAACAGAATGTGGTTTCTCGTTCTAGTGCTGAATCAGAATATCGAGCTATGGCACAATCCGCATGTGAGATAATATGGATACACCATTTATTGAATGAAATCGGATTGAAGACACCAATGCCTGCTCAGTTGTGGTGCGATAACCAAGCTGCTATACACATAGCAAACAACCCCGTATTTCATGAGAGAACAAAACATATTAAGGTTGATTGCCATTTTATTCGAGAGAAGATACAAAAAGGATTAATCTCTACCGGATATGTGAAGACTGGAGAACAACTTGGAGATTTATTCACTAAAGCCTATGAAGCGCGGAAACTCGAAAGCGTGTCGGAATCTCAGAAACTCACATTTCCGCAGCTCAGATTTATTCGAGCTATGGCACAATCCGCAGCTCACGTTTCCCCGTTTCGGAAACTCGAAAGCGTGTCGGAAACTCAGAAACTTCAAATTCCCGTTTCAGGGCCATTTCTGTAATTAAGAAGAAATTAGGAAACTCGTTTCCCTAAATAATTAGCATTTCAGAAACCTTGAATTTTCGATTTTTTTCTTTTTAAGAGGTCCTATGATGGAAAATAGTGTCAAATAGTGATTTTTTGTGTTATATCTTCGTAGCAACATTGTGGCATTTCATAACGCAATTGCTACGAATGAATTGCATTCTATGTTTAATTATGTAAATATATGTAATAATTTCTAAATTTGAACATGTAGAATGCTTTTATTATTGATCTATTAAGCAAGTTATATGAAAATGTCATGTGCATATACATAAATCTGTATACATATGAAAAAATATTTACAAATATATCTTTAAATTTTTTAATATTTACGTGTTTCCCCCGCGTTTCGTATCCTATGTTTTCTAGAAATCATGTTTCTCACGTTTCCTGTTTCCCGTTTCCCGTTTCCCGTTTCTGTGCTACTTAGACTAAAGCTCTAAATGGGATTCGAGTTGATGACTTATGTAACAAGTTGGGCATGATAAATATCTATGCTCTAACTTGAGGGTGAGTGTGAAAGTATTATTGATTATGCTTTAGGAATATGCTCTAGAATATGCTTTAGGAATATACTCTAGACATTATTATTGTATAGCATCTTATATAGGAATATTCCATCTTTGTAATATATATAAGGCCTTAACCCTCTAATGAAATATACATAAAATCATTTCCTCTACAATATCATTTACTCTTATATGCTCTATTTCAACACAAGTGTTGATCTTGACCTTACAGAATTATTCTTTACCACTCTCCACTCTGAAGTCTTGAACCATACTGCCCAATCCACACTTAGCAACTTAGATCTCTCTGAGCAAATGGATGTGCCAAATGACAACAAACAAAGACGATTCGGACTTTCATAGTTTGTTGTGGTTACTGCCCCATAAACTATATACTACAATTTCTTAACCAAGGTTGAAACTTATAGATGTGAAGTGAACATGGGGTTAGGATCACTCTGCTGAATCATAAAGATTCAATTAAATCAATTAGTTAGCACGATCCAATAAATGAATCTATCTTTCTTACTGAAGTATTTGGATTTTGATATCTAACAAGTTAATCATGAACGGAAAATTCGCAATAGGATTACCTTGTTGGAAGGAATGGGGCGGCCTGGATTATTGTCCATGATTCTTCTGACAATTTGGCCAATTCTCATGCTCTCATTGCCGCTCCATATAAAGTCAAAGCAGGGGAACTTGACTAAGTTTTTGTCCTCACACGGTGGAATAGGTGGCGTTACGAGCGGCTCGGGATCGAAGACGTTCTCGAAAGAGGTAGAAGATGAGAAACGCGACTGGACGGCCTTCTGGATGCAGAAGATGAGGAACATAAAGAAGAAAGACGAGAAGAGCTGAATGAATGTTGCGCGCTTGTTCCGCCACGACAGCAGCATGTTCTTCACGAACAGCGCCTTGTATTGCTGCAGCAAAAGGTGAAATCCTCTCTGCAACTCAATCATATTCCAGTTCCAGCCTTTTTCTCTATAGAATTTCAGGTTTTCACTTTCAGTTATGTAACGGGTAAGCCGGAAGCTCAATGAAAGTCTTCATGGCCTTACACGGAGTGCGACTGTGCGAGCGGTCGGTCAATCTTCCAGTGATTCCCCGCGAGTTATTCTATGAAAATAAACTTTCCAATCTTGTACCAAAACAGTGAACTATACTCCATTTTTAAGAGCATTTCAATGATACCATGTGTACGGTGCAATGTGGCACGAGAGATAGATACAAAATATTTATTTTATGACATTTCTCTTGTTATTTTCACGGTCTTATGTGTTTTTTGTAAGTTTTTGTTTGCAATGTCAACCACAATATCTACATCTAGACATTGTGATTGATATTGTGAAGAAAAACTTACTAAAATGATGTAAGATCCTTCAAATAAGGAGAGATACATTCTACTTATTGTTTTTAATTGGTTATTTCTCATGTCACGTATGCATCGTTAACATTTTAACATTGGAGATGCTCTAATACTCCGTACTAATTGCATTTTGATTTTTACCTTTATATTTTATAAAATGCATAGGATTTTTTTTTTTTAAAAAGAAATGCATAGGATTAATCATGACGGAGTAATAATATATTTAAGTTGTTGTTAAAATTATAAAAAATCAAGATGTTGAACTTTTGCATTGAAAAGTTTAAAGGATTATGTCATAAGTATTACTAGAACATTAGCTATGGACAATATTATTACTCCATTCATCGCATTTTATTTATACTACTTTCCTTTTTGGATTATCCTAAAATTAGTGACACATTTCCTTTTTTTGGAAAAAATATGTGATTTGTAACATTTCACTTTATCATACTAAAATTTCAACCACAACTTTTACTTTGCAATCACCTTATTAATAATTGTGTTAAACCAAAACAGGACACGCAAATGGGAAAGAGGTAATACAATATTTTCTATTATGAAGTATATTCCTTTGGTCTCACACAACTTTGACAATTTCTTTTTTAACTATCTCAAAAAGATTCATCATTTCCATTTAAAGTAATAAATGTATTATTAAAATAAATCTCTCTCTCCTTTATAAAAATATTAACCACAAAATTTTGTATTTTACTAAGGAGCTTTTACCTGGATATTACTAATGAGTAGACAATTGACACAAAAGTGACCTTTTTAGAATTCAAAAAATGTGGCTAATATGTAATAAGCTACAGTGACGTGCTACAGTTACACCCTACTGCGACACAAACACGGAGACATCCACAACCTTCTCCACCTGAGACACCGTCGGCCACAATGACACCACTACAGTGACGCTACTATAGTGATGCCGCTACAATGACTCCGCCACAGTGACACCACCACACTCCAGTGACATTAAATTTTTCGGTGACACCACTCGTCGGAAGTTACTCCGGTCGCCGTCACCTCGTTAATGTCGGCGAGGGATAAGAATTAAGAGAATGAATATCTCTTACTCCCTTTCGCTGAGCTCTCCTCAGTTCAGGGAGTGAGGGCTTGTGATGGTACTATGGACATGGCCCGCATACCCAATCCAACATGAAGAGATCATTAGTTCGACAGGACCAACAATCAAAGAGGCTCAAGGCTACCACCAAAGATGGATCAACCAGGAGAATTGAAGGGGCCTGAAAGATCGAGAGAAGACCCGAACACCTCAACAAGATCGGTCGAGTGCTAACTAACCTAGAAATCACGGTCCAAGCCCGCCTCGGGCAAAGTGAGGTCGGAATCCTCTCTGGAAATCCCGAGAAGTGGAATCTCACTAGTAGCGGAAGTCTAACCGTGAACCGTCAAGAGCCAACCGAAGCGGAAAGAACTTTTCATTAATGAAGCATTAAATGCTCTACGGGTGTTACAAAGTTCTATGGACACTGTACTTACGCTTAAATCGATCAGATCTAGGGAGAGGGAGTAATCACCTATAAATACCCCCCACAATTGTAATCAACACAATACGATTCACAAGCAAATAATACACAAATTCTATCACTACTCAATTTTCCGGTCCATTGTTCGAATTCTTTGGGAATTATTCTCCATCAAATATTAATGAAAAAGATTTCGTTAAAATACTTTTTTTAGAAGTAGCCTTTGATGGAATAGAAATTGCCCAATATAGGAGTAAACATAAACATAATTGCACAAATAGGAGTAAAACTTAAAACTTCCTTCAATAGAAGTAAACATTAATTTTGTACCCTTAATATTCCTAACCTAGTTAATTCTAAAATATGACTTATTTAATCCTAACCTAGTTAATTGATGTCTTATTCGATAATAGTAATTTATTTATTTATTTTTCAAAAAATAAAAAAATATATTTTTTTAAAAAAAATTAAAAACTCAAAAAAATAAGATAAAATTCACCGCCACCTCTGCACCACCACCTGTAGTCACCAGGGGGGAAAATGTCAAGTTTATTACGAATGTCATATTCATGGTAGAAAACAATGAAAATGTTGACATTCGTAAAGAGAAATATGTCATATTTTTTGCATTTTCAGAAAAAAAAATGGTAGTTTTTAGGAAAAATGGAATTTTTTTACCGCCCGAAGGTGGTGGTGCAGGGAGGTAGTACAGGCGTTGGGAAAGGCATCCATATTTTTTTTAATTTTTTTATGGAATTTTACTATTTTTTATTAAGTTTTTTAAAAAATAAAAAAAATTAAAAAAAAAATTAAAATTTTTATTTTATTAATATTTTATAAATTTTTGAATTATTTTTCTATGATTTTTTGAATTTTTTTCAAATTTATTATGAATTAAACATTTAATTAAAAGTTATTGGGGCTTGAGGCTTGGGTAGGGGTATACTTATCCAAACACTAAAGTTACTCCTATTCAAAATATGATACTCCTATTTTTGCATTTTGCCTATGTTTTGCTCCTATTTGGGGAATTCTCACTTGATGGAATAAGCGGTATAATTTATAACGAAAGTGCTTCAGAATTATTTTCTTTATATATATTCAAAAGGGAGAAGGGGCAAATCTCCCCTTAAAGTTACCACTAAAGGGCATCTAAGCCCTTATACTTAATTTTGGAGCAAAAAACTCCCTTTTTCCATTAATAGAGGGCATCTCCCCCCTCCTCTAACGGTGAGCAAACGGAGTAGTGAACAAGAGCCTGGGTTGAGAACTTGTGGTAAATGCAAATACATCATGGAATTTTCTCTAGTTAAATCACATCCAAGTCTATATACTATTTTTTTGTGAGCAAATGTCTTGAATAAACATGTGGCAAATTAACTAACTAAATGTTGAATTATAGAGTTTAAGATGTTTTTAATTGGATTGAATTTTTTGATCTGATGTAATTTAATCTAGTCAACTTTTGTCTGATCTGGTCTGATTTGTTTTAAAAAAAATTACTTAGACTTATTTCAGTCTTAGACAATATCAGATCTGAACAAGCCTTAGTAGACATAATTAGACTAGACAACTGATGGAGTATATGGCACAGGGACCCCCGGCCCACATACTTCCTCTTCTACAATCGGGCCCAACAAGCCCAAACGGGCCAAGCCCAGCAAAATGGAGCTCTAAGCAGCCCACAATACGCAAAGGGGTGCCTTCGGCCCCATGGCCGAAGGCTACCAGTGACGGAATCGAGCTCAGAAACATCACAGGAGAACAAGGCTTGAAAATCAAGCCTTCGGCAACTGCAGCCCTCGGCAGGTAGGAGCCCTCGGTTAGAAGAGGCATCACAGGAGAACAAGGCTTGAAAACCAAGCCTTCGACACCTGCAGCCCTCGGCAGGTAGGAGTCCTCGGTTAGAAGAGGCATCACATGAGGACAAGGATTGAAAACCAAGCCTTCGGCACCTGTAGCCCTCGGCAGGTAGGAGCCCTCGGTTAGAAGAGGCATCACAGGAGAACAAGGCTTGAAAACCAAGCCTTCGGCACCTGCAGCCCTCGGCAGGTAGGAGCCCTCGATTAGAAGAGCATTCGGCCCAGCACCCTTCAGCCGAAGGCATCCACCTCGACAGAATATCCTCTTCACATGCGCCTGGATCACCGTACCAAGTACAAACGTCACATCCAACCACCGCATTTAATGCGGCCACATGCGAGTGTCAGTGCCACCCCGGTCGAGGTGACCCCTCGACCACCAGAAAATTGACATGTGTCCTTATCTAGCATTTATTACTACTATAAATAGCACCCCTTTCCCCCATTGTAAACCACGCTTAATACATATCGAATATACACTCTCTCTCTTACTTATTTGCTCTGACTTCTCTCTAGTTATTCTCCGCAATAACCTCTCGGATAAGCTACCCCCCGGGTACACTATCCATCATTTGGTGCTTTCATTGAGAGTTCGAACAATCAAGTAAGAAACCCTCCCCTTCAGCTAAAAACACCTATCAAAATGGGAAGAAACACCCGTGCCCAATCCAAGACTCATGAGGACAGGAACCTGGCCCTCGGCGACGTCGATGCCCTCGAAGCCTCTAACATGGCTCCCGAGGGCGGCGCCCTCGCTGGGTTGGAACAGACGGCTGTCGACCTGCGCCTTCAGCTCCAACATAATGCCCCCGATGCCCGCCTTGGCATCGAGGCCAAAAAGAAGGACCAGAGCGAAAACCAAATGAGCCCTCCGGTTCTCACCATTGACGTACAATCAGCGTTCTCCGCCTTCATCCAAACTCTCACTCAAAACCCAGGTGCCTTCGGCACGCTGGTACCCCTTCAGCCGCAGGTCGGGGAGAACGCCATTCTCCCCCCTCCTCCGCTCCCCTTCGTGAACCCTATCCTTCGGTTAGGGAACAACGAGAGGGTTGTGGCCCAGGACACCGCCTCTCAGGAAGTCCAATCCCGGGACCGCCACGGCGCAAACAAAGAAAGGCCCTGGACCTCCGCCCTCGAGAGACTCGGAGGGGCGCTAGACCGCCGAGGGGTCCAAGACCACCTCGACGGAAAGGTGCTCCAAAGACCTCAGGAAAGTGGCGGATCCGTCTCTAGGGCAGATGAGAAGCTTCCCCCTCGGGATAAAGACAAAGCACCCCTCCATGCCGACGGCACCTGACATCGAATCAACCAGGCCCGCTCGGCCCATGGCCATTCGCAGGGGGCGGAGGCCCTCCCGAAGGACACCAGGGACGAAATTATTGCGGCCCTCCAGCACCGGCTTGATGAAATGGAGGCCCGTCAAGCACATACCGCCTT